GCCTGCATCCTGAGCAAGGCCCCGACGATCGAGCTCTGCATTTTCACATGTGTAGAAGTGAAGGCGTGACTGAGACAGGGGGTCACCTGATGGGAGGTTATAAAAGTACTGCCGGGTGGTGAGGAGCACTGCGTCCCGGGTCTGGAGGAGATGCGGCAACGTCGCCCTCAGAAAGTGAGGCATGGGGATGGAGTCTGCGTCAAAGATGGCACAGAACTCAGGTGGCGCCTTCTCTTGCAGGGTGAAGAGGGCGTAATTCATGTTACCAGCCTTGGCGAAGACTTTACCGGATTGCCTTCCCCGGGTGTGGTAGAAGAGGTGAGGCCATTCGGTGCGCAGTGATGCAATGGCAGACTCGAGCTCTGTGGAAGCACCGTCGTCCAGTACACGGACCCGAAAGCTGGAAGTTGGGTAGTCCATCGTACAGGCAGCGCGCACGGTGTCTAGGATGACGTCGACTGGCTCTCCACAGCAGGGCACCAGAATGTCCACCCGCGGTAGATCGTCGGTGCCGTGTAATCGCAATCTTTTGCGTGGTTGGCCATCCGATGCCGAACCACCTAACATGGTAAGAAGCTGATCATGGCGCCAAATGCCTGACAACATATTAGCTTGCGCGTCCTCGTTTGCTCAGGAAGGGGGCCGGGATGCCGAAACACGGCAGCTCACGGTGGTATAGACATACTGGCGAGGACGATCTCGACCAACAGAGTTAGCCATACTCGCCAATCTTGTTGCACGGCAGAGAAACACAGAGCTAGTCGAAGGACAAGATAAAAATTGAAGGTCCATGATGCCAGATGGGCTACGTAATAGAGCAAGCGCCGGTGCCGCTGTCCCGCGATAACGCGATGGTCAGGCGGGAGCTCCTGAATGTTGTAGAGCAGTTTAGACAGCATTTGTCGGAGCGGCGTGACGAAGGCCACGGTCAGCTGCAGACCCTGAAAACCAAAGCAGTTTACGATGCGTGGTCAGCTAGAGTGTTCCACCGAGTCTGACACTCTGCTGCTCAAACTGGCCAGGGTGCTTAGTAGCAGAGCATGGATCACCACACCACTGCAATGGCTGGTACTATGCACACAATACCCGTGAAATACAAACACACCCACAGCGCATGGTCGACGAGAAAAATGAGAGAAAGGAGAAAAGTCTCCAAGGGCATCACAGGCCGGGCTTTTTGTGCGGCCGCCCCCTTTTGCCTTGGGGTTCTAGAATTTACCACACGTGCTCCACTAATTCCCTAGTCGGGATGTCTGGTGATCTTGGACGGCGGAGTAGGAGATTCATCTTGTACACTTAGATTTGTTACTGGAGGCCTAAATAGTATTCTTAATTGACGACTTTCACATGATGTGCTTTCCATTCCCCTCTCATCTATCCCCTTGATCTTCTTACTTGCACGGAAAAACAGGGCTGCATTAAGCGATGGATTGCATGAGTGAGAGGATAAAAGTGCAGCCAGCATCTGGAGAGGAGGACCGTGCCCATCCAGGTCAGCCCGGTGCAGTCAAGTGCGTTGTGAATGAAAAGAGGTGGTGGTGGTGGTTGTGAAAGGTTGAAGCAGCAGGTATCCGTGAATTTTAGGCGGCAATCCGCTGTGAAGGCCAGTGATTGGGGCGCACAGTTCATTCGGCAGGGAGGGGGAGATGCATTGGCCAGACCGCCTCTTTGCAACCAATTGCCTGGCATCCTGTCATCTTCCGGGCCGACCCTGGAGAGCTCACTATCCATAGTTGAAGGAGGCTTCGCCCTCAATTAGTCTAGACTGCGACTGGTAGGGTTCTTTTTGCCGCCACTCTCCCCATCATCGGCACCCCGCGGGCTGCAGGGTGGGAGGGAAAACCTGATCAGTAATTCGATCCCATCGCCAGACAACAGGAACGAGAAGAGATTGACATGGAGCGGATGTGATGGATGATCGATCTCCTGTCAATTGCTTGTCAGATCAAGTCCCCGCTTAATTGGAACGGCCGGGGGAAATTGTTGCAGGGGTTCGTTCACCTCCAGGCTCAGGGCTGCTGCTTCGGTTTTGCGGTTCCGGGGACATCCGGCAGCGCGCCAGCCAATAGAAGGAAGGGTCGGGATGTGGACGATCCGGGATGTCGGGCAATCACGTGACTGGAATGAATAAGGTGTAGCTCAGTCTTTATTGCAGGGGGAAATAGCTACATACTATATAGCTAATGTATGTCTCCGAATTTAGTTTCTGAGATGTGGTTGTAAAACTAGAATATATTTCTACACAAAGCATTGATGACCGCCTCCACTGAACCCTTAACTGCTACCTCCAAAGGCTTGTTCTTAAGTGCCGGAGCGGCTTCTATCCCTAGCAAATGTGCTGTAGGCGATGAATTACATGCTTATCCTAACTACAGCATCTAGGGTACCATCACCTGCAACCTGTGGTCAGGACCGGTCTTAGACACAGCGCCTGACTAAACGTGACATATCTATTCATGAATTTTTGTATCTCTGTCGAGACAGAGTCTGGTACGATGGAAGAAAGAGCCATCAAATGGCCTGTCATACGGGAAGTTCCTTTGTTTGGGAACGTAAATGACGGATGAAACGGACCCTTCCTCACCAAGAAAGGATTATAGCCTGGAGACGTCGTGTAATTACTCCACTGACCCAGCGACATATAACAAAGATGTGCGCTTCAATAAACTTAAAACACCAACTGAACTAATATTAGGTGATGCCACTGCCTGTGATTACATTTGCCCCATCTTGAGTTTGCACATGGTCTGCGATCTTTTCCCCATTCGCCCTCCGCGACTCACTTTCCCGAGCCCTCAGTCTTCTGTGCAGCCTCTTTCGTCCTACTTATATCGCTTGCTACAAAACAGCCCCATTTTGGGCACGACCAAGAAGTCAGTCACATCTGTCTCTATCTACAATGGTAGGAACAAAGTCAACTAATAGGGGAAGAAATAATGCAAAGGTGACTACGAAGACCAAACTTACATCCCCGCTTTCTATCCCACAGCAAAATACAGATAAGATCCTAAAACCAGTCATCCAGAAACCTGCCTCCAGATCCCCTTCAGTCTCGCCATACAAGCTATACCCGGGCGCGAGTCAGTATCGGATAGCAAGAGCAAAACTGGACCCCTCCAGAATTCGAAGATCACCACGACTTCGGGCACTAAACCCTGCACAGGCTGAAGATGCTCATCCTTTCAAGAGCGCGGATGCCCATGATACCGAGATTGGAGTTATATCAACGACATTTAATGAGCTCAATGCGCTGAAGAAAGAGCTCCAGAGGGCCCAGGAGAAAATTCGACGGACGAAGGACAAGTGTCGCAAGTTGAAGGAACAACATCGAAGAATGGCTAAACAACACCAAAGAACAAAGAAACAGCGGCAAAGAAGGAGAGTGCAGGAGAATCGGAGAAAAAAAAAGTACCAAAAGGTCAGGGAACTATACCAGCATGCGAAACAAGGTCATCGCGACATGGAAGCCATAACGGCTGACACACTGCACAAATACGAGTACTTGGCCGCCCACCATGGTGACTGGGGCTGCATGTCAGACCAGAAGTATGAAGAAGCATTTTTTAGGATATTTCTCTCTTTGAAACATTGGGCTGAAAATCATGCTTATGAAGAAACCACGGTCTTGGAAAGCCTTCCAGAGAGCCACAAGCAAGACCTCGTCAAAAGCCTGGATGGCTACTGCGCTCAAGTCGACGTGAGCGAAATACTCTCTGGTGTCAAGATTGGTCGTGTATTTGGGTTTGAACTTGTCACCATGTTTCTTGTCAAAGATTGTCTTGAGCGGTTCTTCACAAATCCCTTCTGGTATATAGCCCCCCATCCAGGACAAGGTAGCGAGTACGACGAGGAAATCTTACCGAAGGCGACTCACTGTGGTACTGTGCTTAATGAATTACTCAAGGATTTTGACAATGGTAAGGCGGTCCCCTCTTCGCATTTAATTTCACTACTAACAGTCCATCTTGTATAGACGGCCAACGAGTGTTATTAGCTCAATCCTGGCGTCTATGGACAGCCCGCCTTTGCAATACAAAGGTAATGGATCGCCGAAATGACTTCGCCGAAAGAATGATGTCACGCCGAAAACTCATGGTCGAGGAAATGGTTGCGCAGGTTCTGAATAACGAGCTATTGAAACCGCTCCTTAGGCCCCCTGCGGATGGACAGAAGGCTGATATTGTCAAGAGAATACTGGATGCAGCATACCTTAAAGCCGCGGAGCTCTCTGTGCAGCTCTCGATGGATGATCATTACGTGGAATTTCGAGACTTGCGCAATATCGGACAGGTCTACGACCCTTCGAATACAGAAATCAAGTTAAATAACGCCTACTATGAGGAGGGAGATCACTTGCAAGGTCACCGGATATTGTGCATGCAATTCCCAGCCATTTATGTTTGTGGGGGGTTTGCCACTCCTGACTACCGAGAACTTATTTTCAAAGCGGATGTGTTCGTAGAAGAGGGAACTACATCTACGAATAAGGACTCAACTAACGGTGGGATGGATTAACTTCACAAGTCTTCCTAACAGAATTTTCGTTCATATTTCGACCTTTGCTCGCCTATATATTATGATAGCCCGGACGGCTCACATTGAATAGTTACTACGTCTCATATAACTCAAAATACAGTAACAGAGTTCTATTGCTATAGCCACTAGAGGTTCCCTTGTCAATCTTGCCGAGACTCCACCTGACTTTCTGACAATTACCACATCCAATATAGTAGGGTACTACTTTGCGACTTTCCACTCTAGATTACGGGTGTATGTGTAATGTTCGATATTCCGCTAGGCTGAGAAGAAGGTTCATGTGTGGTGCGGTGCTATAAGTCCTGGCATTGTTCTACGTGGTGGATTGTCACTTGACCTAATGACTATATAGCAGCTCAATATTGACAGAAATAATTCGGCATTTTAGAAACAGAACTTCCATGGTCTGTATACATAAAAATTGTACATCTATACTATCCAAAAGTGCTTCCCAGCTAATGAGGTCAGGCGTAGCACCCCCCAACCAGCCCGCTAAGATTTGTTGGTGATTCCGTATCAAGCATAGCCTCCCACAACAATTCGACTATCTCTTGCCGCGCCTTCTCATGTTTCCTAAAACATGCCAACCAAGGGGGACAATCCGTTGGCTCATCTCTTGCACTTATTCCAGTCTTCCCTTCCAATTGTGTCTCATTTTGGAGAGCAACCTCGCACCAGGCAATAATATACCTCAATTCGTCGAGATGCTCCTGATAACTTTCGACATTAAACTTATCAAGGTACTGAGCACGGGTACGAAGGCTCATATTACCGAGAAAACTTGGTAAACAGAGATTCTGGATGAATCTTTTCTCGTGGCAAGCTTTGTCATGGAAGAAAAAATCAATACACCACTGAATCATTGGGGTATTGTGCGGGGTGTCAAAGTCAATCTTGGCAGTCATAAGTTCTAGAACCTCCACCCAAATGGGAGTAAACTTAGTCCACTCACAGGCCTGCTCCCACACGCATTTGAATGAGCCTATATCGACCTTGCTACCACACTGGAGCAGATATTTGGCATTCGCTCCTTTGTGTGATCCTAGAGCCAGGTTCAACGGTGAGTATAAGTCATACCAACTTCGCGGAACATCGACATTCGGAACAAGGTCTAGACCAGGCATAATAACTTTGTCTGAACAACCACCGGTCCACCCTATTGCTCCTGCGTGTAGCAGGCTTGGTGCACGAGAGATTATCGCCTCCACGAGATCAGGAGTGCCTTCGGAAGCAGCATAATGTAGTATTGTTGCATCAGTAAAATCTGTGAAGCTTAGGCTTCCAGAGTAGGTGCTGTGCATGTTCATATAATTCTTCAAGACAAGGTCAGTCAAAGGGCTGAGGGTTCCGTGAAACCTGCATGATTCGATAACATGAGCGAGTGAAAAGGGTGTGGCACCAGCATCTAGGAGAGCCTCTGCCATTTGTGGACAGATATTCTCTGTAAAGCCCAACAAACTATCGAAAGTACCTGGCGGGCCGCCTCTAGTGCAAGGTAGTCCGGGGTCAGCACCGTTTTGCAGCAGGATTTTGACCATTTCGACGTCCTTGTAATATGTAGCTCTATCCAACAGTGAACTTGGACCGTCGTAATTGAATTTAACATCATCTTCATCACCTTCGTCAATTTCATCATTGCCGTCGCTGTCGTCGCTGTCGGTGCTGTTGTCGCTATCGGTACTGTTGACCTTGTTGTCCTTGTCATCACTTCCATCACTGTCAGGTAGGTATAGGTTAGGATCAAGACCTGCTGACAAGTATGATCTTAAACAGCTATTCCTTCCCTGCGAAATGACCACTTCAATTCGGGTCCTGGGCACATATATTATGAAGTTATATTTCCAGCGATCCATTTCCTTACTCCACAACGGGATCCCTGGCTGTTTAGGCCGGTTCAGCAGCCTCTTGATTGACCCAGCACCCAACTCAATCTTTTCCCCTCCCTTGTATGCGTCAACAGATGTATACTGTAAGGCATGCTCTGTCACCCGCTCAGTGCAGTTGCGACGGAGGATTAAGTTGAGCCTCTTGCAGGTCCCCGACAAGTGGACAACAGACCGGGTGTCCAAATATTGCACACATTCAAAAACCAGCTCGACAGGCAAATCTGAAAGATAATATCCGGGATATGACATTTTGACTGATAGAAGTGACGTCCAGAAGAGAGTGAAGGCTCAAATTGCAGGATTGATAGGTGAGTGGGTTTGTTATGGGCATCCGATGCAAGTGTTAAATGAAGCATCAAGTCAGTGCTTAAATAGAACATATTGCTCTTATTCGTGTGATAAATGATGCTTCAAAACTTGGAAGGAGTTCGTATCATGTTGGAGATTTCCTTTTGCAACAAGGTGGCTTCGTGGCTCTTTTTATGATATGGAAGGGTGGGTACAGGATCAGAATATTTATCCCTGTGTAATACCTTAACCTGTCTGACATACACAAAACAGATCGCGCAGACGAATAATAAAATTCAAGTAATAGCATAACAAACCGAGACCACATTACACCGTCTTCAAAGGCATGAGGATATCTTCCTTGTACAAAGTAAGAAACAGTTTTTCTGTGGGATAAGATGCTCTTTCATCACGTTCTCTCCCAAACACACAATGAAATCCAGTAAAGCAACCCTGTGGTCCCTGTTCTCTTTGTCCCAAACCTTTCCAGCTCGCCTCTCTTTGTTGCTCATGGCTGATCCCATTACTTCCTGTGAGTCATATGGCACAAAAGTCCATGTGTACGCTACTTTCCACAATCTGGCAAATGGGTGATCTACAAAAGAGATGTTGGTTGGCAAGATACCGAACCTTTGCCCTACTCAGTGCTAATATCTTTCAATCCAACAAATGGATATACCAAGCGGCGTGGACACCCGCGAAAGCGTTATAAGTGATACAGCCCCTGATGCTGCCGCCATCGACAATTACCGATCAGGATTGTATTACAAGGTGGATAACATTGAAGTAATTATACATTGTTAGTCAAAATCATCGTTTTTGCTTCGATGGAGGCTACTTAAGATTAAATTAACTCTACGCAAGAGGTTCTACATGATATTGGAAACGATAAATAAAGACAGCTGAATAACGTGACATCCGTAAAATGCATTGATAAAATTTCCATATACTACATCTATATCATTTTAGTCCAAAGACATTAGCCATATTGAGAGTTTTCCCAAAACTAACTGCCTGATTAACCGCAGATATCAGCAAGTCTCTATGGCACATCCACGGCAGCCTCATGCCTCAGTTGCAGGATCTCCTCGAGCCCTTTCACTTTTTGTTCAACATAGTCACGTTCTTTCGCTTTCTCAATTTCCCAGATTATCTCAAGGCTGATAGACGTATCTCTGGATACTCTTCGATCCAAAGCCTGCCACCAACTAGGCTTCGGCCGGTCAAGATCGTCCTCCAGCTTCCGAAGTTTTATTCTCGCTACAGTTAATCTCACTTCATATCTCCTGAAATCAAGCCTGCGCGCATAGAGCAACCGGCTACGCTGACTCATCTTCCGGAATAAAGCAGGCAGATATAAACTCCCATCCTCTGGATTTTCCCATTGAACGGACCACGACTCATCACGCAAAATCCTCTCAAGAGTCGAAGCGGCCTCCACGCTGTCAAGATCAAGCTTGCTTGCAATTCTCTGCACATAACCAACCCATAGAAGCTTCCATGCTCTCCATCCTGGACTTTCGTATGGAAATTTCACTCTATCCCCGCTGCGTCCCGTTTTGCATATATCGATAGCGTCTTCTAGGGAATAAAAGGTTGGCTTGCTTCCCATGTCGAGTAAGTACCCAACATTCATCGTGATACCACTAGAAATTGCTACGTCTAGGGCCGGTTGGTGTCTGACGGGGTATCTCGTCGAACTAAGAATTGCTTGGGCGTGTAATTGTTCTGGTGCATGGGAGAGTATAGTCTTCAACAGTTCACAATCGTTCCTCTCAGCAGCAATGTGGAGCAAAGATATGCGATGGATATCCAGTCCATTCCTGAGTGCAACCTCAAGAAGATGTGGGGCGTTTGGCATGCCACATAGTTGCCGAGCCACTATCGGTTCTGAAAAAATGACACCGCGTTCAAGGAATGATAACATCGTTTTTTCCCAATTGTCTACCGGCTTCTCCGTGTGGATGTATACCCCCACCTCATCCAACATAGACCATTCTGACGGGAGCTCCGGCCTTCGCCGGGGTTCGGCCCCCTTCTCGAATAGAAATTCAACCATATCAGAATAATTAGATATAGCGGCTATAAATAGTAGTGACCCCATTCCGTGTCCTGCTGATACAATATTGGGGTTAACGCCTGCATCGATATACGCCTCAAGAATTCTCTGGCGATTGTTCAGAACAACGGCTTGAATCCGAAGCAATATCTTTCTGAATGGGAGATCATCGGGGGTGGCCAATCTGCACATATCCCCAACGGGGCCAGGATTTCCGGAAAGTTTAGGGTAGCGAGATATCCAAGAGTTAACATAATACTCAAATTCTGTGGTTGCATGTTGAGATGCCGCCCAGGAATATCTCTCTCGTAGGAGCATCTTGAGACTTTTGCAAGTGCTTGATAAGTGGACGACGGATAAAGGGTCCAGCCATTGAGTAAGACGCAACAATATCTTGCGGGGAAGCATTCCCAGATGGCAGCTGGCTTCATGCATGGTAAACGTAGACTTAATTGATGCGAAGAAGTAGGTTAAATCTTTGTGGTGATGCTTCTGGGTAAGATGAACACAAGTTTGACAGCTAACGAGGACATAAGAAGAAGAGTATAAGAGCGTATTATATGTACATTGGCCTGCTCCTGACTATTTGCTTGAGCAGATATTGTATGGAGGAAATTACCTATGATGAATAGTGAAATAAACAGATCTCAAAGCCTGCTTTTGAATATAGGATAGCGTGCAGCCGCAGACAATAGCGTGCTCTTAGCAGCCGTGTAATGAAGAAGCCTCGTCTCATTCACACTTTTGTGGAATAAGCAGTGTAATCTTGGCAACAGAGGGATTATTTTACTTCTTTGTTCACCAAATGCCGTGTTGTTGAAAGTGTTGTCCGGGAAAAATCTATTTATTCTTGCACTGGCGCTTAGAAGAATAGCGCGGATTATGCATTACCCACAATCTTTCCTATGTGCGTAGTTTCTGTGTGTTCACTTTATCGACTCAGCCACGCCTCACATCAAAGGCATGTGGTCCTCTCCGTATCTGACTCCTCTTATTTCTTACTCTCAATGTGATAATTCAACGGATGTTTTGACCAAAGAATACTAACGGGCTGAATCGGCGCCCGGAAAACTTCAATCTGAACTCACATGAAATAAAGGCATGCTCCGCGGGTAATCGACCATCCCGAGGCCTAGTTGACGCCACATTAGGCCGGAATTCATGACGGAGAGATCACCCGCAACACCATCTATGGGGAAGAGCCGCAACAATTGCAAACCTGGTTGTAGTGAGTAGTTTTCAATGCTCAACTAAATATGAATTGGTAACCTTTCATGAGGCTTGCTCCCATCGCAGGTAATCAAGATCACAAGGGAACAACCGGTCACTGCACTGATTTTCTTGAGGAACACAGCAAAAGACAGTATTCCAACCTAACGTTAAATTTGCGATTTTGCGATGCAGCTTCCAAGTTGATTGCTACGTGACAAGTTCCTCCCGGGAAGAGAAACTCAATCCCTGTTGTTTCATGATTTTTTGCAACACAACCATGGTTCCGTACAAAGCCACAAAGGGGAATATGTCACCGGAATTAACGACCAAGTAAAGTTCAGCCACATCATTCTTCTTTTTTATGCATACCTTCCTCGTGGGGTATCGTTCTCGCCTATCAGTCTGACAACTGACGGTTATAGGGACAGCTACCTTGGAGAATTCACGATCTGTGCGCACCGATATTGTTTTGAGAGGCTGGAACTAATTCCAGTCAACTTTGAAATATGGTGAGCGTTCGGGAATCGTCACGATGCGCGCATGGCAAATCATCATGGTGATTTCATCTGATTGTACCTATCAATGAAGTGATGAAGGGTTTAAAATATGGCAGGACTGCATAAAAGAAATACATGTTCCACTAAAGCTATCCATCAGGCACATTCAAGATCTTTTGACTACTCTCTCAAGTTCGAAAGGGCCTTTGTACGGCCGACATACCGGGCAAAGTCATGGACTCTCTTTTCTCTCATAACGTCGCTATCGATCCGGGAGCTCTGGCAATAGATGATGGAGGACATCAATGGTCGTATTCAGACCTCGACCGTGAAGTCCAGCGTATCGCATCCCTTCTGAAGACCCTGGACCTACCTCCAGAGGAGCCCATTTGTATCTTGCAGGGTGCAGGCAGTGAGACCATCATTGCCCAGCTCGCCGTCATCCGGGCGGGCTTGACATGCGTTCCCCTCGAGCCTTCGATTCCAACTAGTCGCTTGATGAACCTCCTGAAAGATGTCGGAACACAGTACATTCTATCTAACCATACTTTGGACATTGACAATGATATGGTCATTATCCCCATTAGTGGCGAATACCACCCACTTACGAAAGCAGTCCGACCGGAGACAGCCAGTGTTAAGCGTGTGCAACTGAAAGGTCTGCCCAACTGTGATTATCGAAGTCATATCCTGTATACATCAGGGTCCAGTGGAAAGCCAAAAGCTGTTCAGATTCCAGAGAGTGGCATCCTCCACCTTATGTTCAAAAGTCCTGCCACGCCGCTTCTGCCATCGGACCGTGTGAGCCTATTTAACAATCCGGGCTTCGATATGTCAGTTTTTGAAATATTCGTCGCTCTAATGTCAGGCTCCACGCTGGTCACAGTGCCCCGGCCGGTGATCACGGATCCGTTGGAAGCTAAGAGTTTCATCACGCAGAAAAATATCTCTGTCTTTTTCCTAACTACTTCACTCTTCTCAATAATTGCACAAGCATGTCCCAGTGCGTTTACTGGTTTGAGACATGTCCTCATTGCTGGTGAAATAGCCAATATGACCAGCATGAAGGCTGTCCTTGAATCGCCTAATCCACCTCAACATCTGTGGAATGCATATGGCCCCACTGAAACGACGATCGTGTCAACAATGCATTCAGTTACGGCAGATGATTTGCGCTACGACAGCATCAGCATCGGTACGCCATTCGGCGATACAAGGCTTTTCCTTGCTGATGAAAACCTCAATATCATAACCGAGCAGGGAAGCATCGGCGAGATACTCCTGGGCGGACCTGGACTGACAGCAGGATATATCGGACGCCCTAAAGAAAATGAGGACAGATTTTTCGTCGATAAAGCAGGGTACCGACTCTACCGAACCGGTGACTTTGCCAAGTGGCGTCCCGACGATCCAACTTTGCTCGAGTTCATCGGTCGTGTAGACCTGCAGGTTAAGCAGTGCGGTTTTCGCGTCGAACTTGGCGAGATCGAGCAGTCATTCCTTGGTAGTAACCGGCTACTAGCCGCGACGGTGTGTCAAATTCAGCCAGAAACTGCCGAAGATGAACCCTTTCTCGTTGCATTTCTCATTCCGGCTGTTGCTAGTACTTTTCAAGCTACAGACATGCTGGAGTTCATTAAGCAAAAGGCACCAGTTTACGCTGTGCCGCGGGATATTGTCTTCTGTCCACACTACCCCCTAACAGACCATGGCAAGGTTGATCGCAAGGCATTAGCGAGGCAGTATGCCAGTCACTGTACCAAGATTCAGGAAATTCTACCAACGATTGAAGACCCATCCACCACAACCAACATCCTCCGAAATATCTGGACCTCCGTTCTCGGCCAACAGCTAATCAACGACGAAGACAATTTCTTCTCCACTCTTCGAGGATCGTCCCTTCAAGCGGCTGCTATGATCTCCAGAACCAGGAGGCAATTCGGAAACACCGTCTCCATGCGCACATTGTACGAAAATCCCCGACTAACGGACCTAGCCAACCGCATCGACAACTCCATTCAGGACAACAACCCCAACGACCTCGACCGCTGGATGACAGACGCCCACACAGCCGACGATCTCTATACCGTCCCCAACTGGCAAGCCGCCGGAGAAGGCCGCATCTTTCTCACAGGCGCGACAGGGTTCGTAGGCGCCCACTTCCTTAGCCGCTGTCTCGCAATGCCCACCGTCAAGGAAGTCGTCTGTCTAGTGCGAGGAAAATTCGGCATCTCAGCCAGCGAAAGGGTCCAATCAGTCCTGGAACGCTACAACCTCTGGGACAAGACCTCACACTGCATCCACAAACTCACCGTCCTTAACGGCGACATCACCATGAGACATCTCGGTCTAACTGAGGACATGTTCACCTGGCTGACCAACTGGGCCAGCGTGGTCTTCCACCTCGCCGCAAAAGTCAACTATCTGGAACCATATGCCGCGCACTACGACGCTAATGTCCTCGGAACCCGCCACGTCATGCAAGTGGCTACCTCCGGTCGCCGCAAGGCGTTCATGTACATGTCTAGTATTGACGTCTTCGGGCCAACCGGCCACGTCCTAGGCACGGAGAAGGTCCTCGAGGACGGTCCGCTGGAGCCGCATCTCCATGCACTGAAGTATGAGCTCGGCTATGCGGCTACGAAATGGGTCTCGGAGATGATGGTTCGTCGGGCGCGCGATCAGGGTCTGGCAGCTATGATTTTCCGCCCGGGGTTTATTCTAGGCGATTTCGAGCAGGGATGTGGGAATCCGGATGATTTCTTCGCTCGGTTCGTCATGGGATGTATCCAGGTTGGTGCGTTTCCGCATCTTCCTAATCAGCGCATGGAGTATGTGTCTGCGGATTATGTGTGTGATGCGGTGCTGCATATCGCTGCTAATAATGGCAATCTCGGGAAGACGTACAACCTCGTTTCTCCTGATGAGGCGGACTCGATCGATCTTGAAGAGACGTTCCGGATTATGAACCAGGCAGGGTATCCGCTTGAACTTGTGGAATACTGGGACTGGGTGTGTTTGCTACAGGAAAGGGGCGGTCCTGATAACCCGTTGATGCCGTTGATGTCTCTGTTGCAGGAGACAGTGCAGGATGGATTGTCGTGGTTGGAGATGCATAAGAATACGACGCGTTATGATTGTTCCAATACGGTTGCGGCGTTGAGGGATGCGCAGGGGATCAGATATGTGCCGTTTGATGTGGGGATGTTGACCAGTTTGCTGGGTTTTTGGGCTCAAAAGGGATTCTATCGGGTGTGATTATGCGCTCTTTTTCTTGTATATGCACTATTTACATTTTTAGATTTATAGAGTAGAGCATGGTTCATGTGCATGAAGACTGGTTCAGCACGAGATGAATTCATAAAGCAGAGACTAAAGAACAATGCAGAAAGCTAACATGTCACCAATATCCAGTCATACAATCTCCCAAACCCCCAAGGAAATCCATATCCTACCACTCTAAGCACTTACAACCGACTCGGGACAAAGTACGGGATGTTCTTCGACTCGTACAGATCCTTGTGGTCGGCCTTGATGATATCCGCTCCCTAGGTGCTCGTTAGTCCTCATATCACAAAATAAGTGTTTCATGAGAGGAATGATCACTAACCTTTTCGCCAATCATGTACACGGAATTCTGGATTCGGCAGTCCGGAATCACAGGGATGATGGAGGCATCTGCAATGCGGAGATTGCGCACTCCGTGCACGCGGAGCTTCGAGTCGACCACACCCTGGTGGATGCTCTTGGAGAGACGGGCAGTGCCGCATGGGTCTAACATGCCATCATTAGTAATCACGGTTAATAGGAACGAAGTACTGTTGAGACTTACGGAATCCAGTCTGGCTGCGATCCAAAACAGCGCGCTTCATCTCGTCATCCGACTGAAGAGGCATCTTCCATGGGTACTCCGACAGGACGATATCCTTGAAGCCGGCGCCGCTGGTCAGGAGGTCATAGGTCCATCTAACACCCTCGCGCATAGCCAGGATATCGAGGTCATTGCCGAAGAAGTTGAGGTTGATGTTAGGTTGCACCAACGGGTTCGAGTTGTTGAGCGTCACCTCGCCCTCTGACAAGGGGCGCAGCAAATCGACAATTACAGTCATGTGATTGCCCTCTTCCGGGACGGGATAGTGCCATTGGAAGGCAGTGCTGAACATGCCGACGAAGTCGAGCTCGAAATGAGGTTGTCCTGAGGGTCCGAAGGGGTCCAGTCCGCCGTTGGCCGCCTTGGCTTCGCGGTAGGCGGGGTATTTCTCGAGACGTTGGTCGATGCGAGGGAAGCCGACGAGCTCCAAGAGTCCGGAGCTGATGGGTCCGGTCTTGTCTTTCTTGTACTGGGCGATGGCTGCGTTGTTGGTGGGGCCGGGGCGGAGAATGTGGTCTTCCAGACCGTAGCCGTCCTTGAGGCGGAGGACGAAGGGTACGATGGGGTGGTCGAGAAGATGCTGGCCGACGTGGGGAGATTCGACGATGGGAGTGATGTTGTGTTTGGCTAGCTCTGCGGCGGGACCGATACCACTCAGCATCAGGAGCTTGGGGGTCTCGAATACACCCTGGGAGAGGATCACTTCGCGACTGGCGTAGACGCTGATCTCGGTGTTGTAGGCTTCACTGACGACGGTCACTCCGGAGCAGACACGAGTGACGGGGTCGATGATCAGCTGCTTCGAGTGGGCTCCGTAGAGGATGGTCACGTTAGGCTTATCCTTCAGGTAGAGGAAGCTGCCTTGGCGCTGGCCGTTATAGATGGTGTCCACGCAGTGGGTAAGACCGCGCATCTCACCGGAGTAGATATCCTCGGTCAGCTTCTCGCCCTTGGAGACCCACGCTTGGGTCAGTGCGTCACGGAAGGGTTGCATTTCGGGGACCAAGTCGGCATGGGCGATCTGGACGGGGCCTCCGGTTCCGATCTTGCTTAGCTCGGTCGGGTAGAGCTTCTCATCATCATGATAGGTTGCGCACTTGCGGAGATACTCGACGCAGTTATCCCAAGTCCAGTCGTGGCCGCCAAAGGCCTCCCAGTCATCAAAGGTGGGCTTAGAGCCGGGAATCCAGGTGAAGTAATTGGCACAAGAACTTCCACCCAGCGCCTTACCACGAGTGTTAGGCTTTTCGACACGCTCGTAGTCGTCGCGCTTGATCATAGTGGTCTTGTAGGCCCAGTCATACTTGCTTCCTCGGAGGTTGAAGGCCTTGGAGGGAGTGGTGATTTCGTCGACCTGGTCAGGGTTGGGAATACCGGCTTCGACGACCAGGACGCGAACATTGGGGTTTTCAGCGAGGCGACCAGCTACTGCATTGCCTGCTGTGCCACCACCGACGACGATGAAGTCGTATTCGTTGCCGTTGGATACCATTGCCATGATGATGGATTGGGATCAGAAAGATGAGATAGATGATGTTTTATATGAGAGATTGTAGGAAAGAGTAGTAGAGATGCGATGAGATGAACTGTGATGATGCTGACGGAAAGAGAGCATCAACAAGCGATGCATCTATTGTATTTATATTCATCATCTTCGATCTTTTCATCGATGAAACTTTTTCTATGTCTGCCGACATCCGAGTCATCGCCGTATAGTCGAAAAACATGCAGCTTTGGTGCCTGAGAGGGCTTAGTGGATTCGGCAGCGCCCGGTGAGGGGAGGCCCACCGTTCTACTGTAGCTGCGATGGCATTGTAGATCTGATCTCCAAAGGTCTAGGCGTTAAATCGTGTTTTGCTTGATCGATATTTTTTTTTTTTTTTTACCCCTCATGCGGGGACAATTCAAAGCAAGTTGAGTAGGGATAGTTCTACTATGAGGGTAAAATAGCTGAACCCTGACCGGCAATGCGGCATCCACGGGACGAAGCTGTCAAGGTGTCAACTGGCATCACCACGCCATATGCTTCCCATCCATGGTTATACGGTGTCAGATTATTCGAATGACATCTTCGAGACTATTAGCCACTGCGGTCCTCATTGCAATGACAGCATTGGAGAACAAGGAGAGGGGAAGAAAAGCCTCTGAGGGGAAAACAAAACACATGCGAGGGGGAAACTCGGCCACCGGTCGGCAATGGCTCGGTCCGGGATTCGGCATTGGCTCGGTCACCACCAGCTGCAAAAAATACTCCTCAGTTTGGCCGGAAATAGATTCCTTGTCTTATACTTCCCCTCACCACTGTGTACACCGAGATACTCTGGCATTGAATTGGAGAATTGACTCGCATTGAGCGATTCAAGATGTCTATGTTGGCTGATTCACCATGGACGTCACACTCCGCGGCTGCTGGCAATATATATACGGGGTTACCAGGAACTGCTGGTCAAACAGATCAAGCACCTCAAGAATCATTATCAGCCTTTATATTTGAGCTTCAACGATAGTAGTCTGTCGAAACACCCTTTCATCATGTCCAGACCTGTTTATACCCTGGCAGAAGGTCCCTTCCTCGATCCTACACCCAGTTCCATATTCTGACTCTGTTAGGCCAACCCATCCCTGACCCCTCCGTGAGCACTACGCTGCCCACAATTGGCGGTGGAGGCATCACAACCCTAGGAGACACTCTTCTCCTCGAGACTCTGGCTCACTTCAACCGTGAGCGGATCCCAGAAAGGTACCTGTTCCCTTCCTCCACCATCAACCCCCCTTTTCAGACCATCCTCATCTAACCAACCAAACCTCTGCAGGGTCGTCCACGCGAAAGCAGCCGGCGCATGGGGAGAATTCGAAGTGACAAACGACGTATCTTCGCTAACCTCCGCTAAGTTCCTCAACGGTATTGGAAAGAAAACCCCCGTTTTGTTTCGACTCAGCACGACGGGTGGTGAAAAGGGTAGTGCGGATACTGTGCGAGATGTGCGTGGATTTTCAGTCAAGTTCTTCACCGAAGAGGGGAACCATGATATTGTGGGAAACCATATCGTATGTATACCTACCTACCATTCTTTATGTACTGGAAGGAAGGTTTCTAAGGACTTGTGTGCTAAATGAGGCCAATAGCCTGTCTTCTTCGTCCGAGACCCTATCCGCTTCCCTTCCCTGAACAGAAGCCATAAACGGCACCCTGCCACGAATCGTCCAGATTGGACCATGGTATGTCCCTCACCCTCTGGCCATATATTTGCTATCCTACCTACCACATAGTATACTAACCAACTCACCTTCTGGGGTGACACAGTTCTGGGACTTCCACACCAACCAACCCGAAAGCGTCCACGCATTGCTCCATCTCTTCGGCTCTCGAGGCATTCCAGGCTCCATTCGATCCGTCACTGGCTTCGGCGTACACACATTCAAGCTCTTATCCCCCGATGGCACCTTCCGGTACTGCAAGTTCCATTTCCGGCCTGAGCTCGATGGAAAATATTTCTCCGGACAAGAAGCCGCCCGGATGGCTGGGGTGGATGCTGATTTCCATAACTTGGATTTGTGGGATGCTATTGCACGGGGACAGTATCCTGTTTGGAAGCTGTGTGTGCAGGTTATGGAGCCTGAGAGGGCGGAAGAATTCGGACGGGGACTATTTGATATCACAAAGGTTCGGTCGCATAAGGAGTTCCCACTCATTGAAGTGGGCAAGATGACCTTGAATAAGAATGTGAGTTCTGTCTGTTTGCTATTTGGTGGCAGGGTTTTGGGAATGGGTGGAGTGTCGTGTGCTAACATAGTAACAGCCCGGAAATTACTTTGCCGAAATTGAACAGGCGGCGTTCTCGCCATCCAATATGGTGCCTGGGATTGCTAGCACGCCCGATCCCAGTAAGTTTGCATTGCGTCCTTGCTGTTTTGCGTTTGATTGATTGAAATTCTGTGTTGTTGGCCATGTCTCTCTCCCTTGGTTCATGCATACCAATCTTGCGAGGTTGTGTAACATGCACTGATATCCCTGGCTTTATGTAGTGTTACAAGCCCGCATGTTTGCCTACCCCGACGCTCAGCGCTACCGCCTTGGGGTTAATTACACCCAGCTCCCGCCCAATCGCGCTGTCTGTCCTGTCTACGCGCCGTTTGAGAGGGATGGCTTTGCCACAGTGACGAAGAACTATGGCGGGGATCCGAATTATGTGCGCAGCTCGCTTTCTCCCGGGATTGTGAGTCGAACTACCGCCCAGGTACGGCACGATGAGCGGATTCTATCGTTCGCGTTGGGTCAGAATGAGATCCCAGTGGATGAAGAAGATTTTGTACAGCCACGGGACCTCTGGAATAAGGTCTTTGATGAGACAGAAAGGCGAAAGTGGGTTGCAAATCTGGCTGAGACGCTGACTGGGGTTCCTGAGCCGCTGAAGGAGGCTGTGTTGAATATGTTTGGCAGAGTCGATGGTCGGTTGAGGGAGATGTTAGGGGCAAAGGTCAGGGACATTTCGCGACTGTAGAGGTGAAAGGGTCATTATATTTGTGGATGTATGGGTTGCTGAGAATTCAAGGCAAGGGAAAATTGTATGTTGGATGGCTATCTATTCCTATTTCCAAAGTCTTGTTAGCGTCTAATCTGAAATCTGATAAGGATCTAGGCCCAAGGCCAACTGCAGTAAAATTGCACATGGAAATTTGTTTCTGGTCTGTGAGGTTAAGCACGGTTAACCGGAAAAGGGTTTCTGTTAATCCCCCGTCTTTCAGAGCCACCCTAGAAAGCCTGGAAATCGCTTTGCTCTTGTTATGTGTCGGTGGCTGCTCGACAAATGCAAGAACTTGGCATGGAAAGACTGGGATAGAGTCTCCCAAGTCATGGGAAAGGAATCCACTTTGGAACTTGCCTGTTACTCAGCAGCGAGAGTCCGTGAGCACCCCACATGGTCTGATAGATTTCCTGGTTGCATATTTTCTGGCCTGATGACCCCCATGGGACGGCACGGTAAGCGCCCAAATAACAATGTGCACGAAGCCCCCAACAGGACTGCGGGGCAAACTGAAGTGACAGGTCCGACGGCCAGATCCGCAGTTCCGTCGGTGCAGAACTCATACGTGCTCGGTTGGTGATCTAGGGAATAAATATGGAGGTGATAAGCGAGGTGGGACTGGAGATGTTGGAGACGAGGATAACCGACGTGACCTTCGCGCTGGTACCGACGTTTAGCCGTATTTGGCTTTGCTGGTAGGATTGCAGACCATTATTAGTGCTTGAGCATTACAGGGACTAATTTGGTGGAGGAACGTAAGGGAGTCTCTTGCATATGCTAAGACGAAGCTGCTGCCGGGGTTTGACTATTTGGCTGTCGTGCGAGTCGATCGTCGTTGAATTGGGTTTGACCAGATACTTAAGATAAGCGGATTCAAATCAAACTGATGTGCATACTTTCAGAGCCAAGTTTCTCGGGTATGAAGGTTTTATCGTCTAACACAACTCAATAATCCTAGTGATAGACAAAGAGGTATTTGGAGAAGCTGAAATAAGCGGAACCCTTTTCCCTGACGGGCAGGTCCCACGACTACAACTAGTGGCTTTGCGAACCATGGGTCTAGGGCCATTGAAGTTCCACTGATGGCACAGCAGTGGCACAACGGTTAACTAACCAGCTGCAGAAAATCTCTGAATCAGACGGGAGCCCTCCTTTTTTGTCATGTTGGGGTCTTTTTCTTTCTGTATTAGTTGCGATACAGCCTTTGGAAGAAGTTATGTAAGGGCGATGTTATACACATTGAAGCATGGACCATAACAGTCTGCGTGCATGAAAATCCTTTTGCAAAACACCCATGCCGGATAGGCTTGGGCAAGAGCAGTAACCATAACAAGACCCTGCTATTGTTGAAACAATTAAGGTTGGAATATGACAGCTCATGAGAGACCAGCAGATATAATTAGGGCCAAAGAGTTAGCTCATTTCGATCGGAAATTCGCCCAGCCTCATAATCACGCAATTAGTCGTGCAATTGGAGGAAATCGGAATAATGGCGCAGGGTAGATTAAGCGAGCTCTCTAGTACGATTCCAACCGAGTAGCTAGTGCACCATCTCCGGCTATTGGCGATGGGCTGTCTATAGCTCGGATTCTAATTATTTAGGCTCATGCGTTTTTAGCATACTATGGTCTTCACCGCAAAAGACCCTCATCGGTAGAAGGGAACATTCTTTGAAGTGTTTACGAGGCAGGAAAGTTTGGTGACGAGAGCTGAATAGCATCCTGGATAGCTGGAAAGAGAAGAAAAAGGTGGGACTGTGTCGGATGGCAGTCGGGATTCTCTCGGTCAACTCTCGTACCTTTTGCAACATAAAAGGCCTTCCGTGGAACCCTGGAATGGCGGAACATGATCGCAATTAAGTAACCAATACATAACAGATACGTACATGGGCTTTGACCGTTTAACTGCAAATGTTGGTTGGGTTTGAAAGGGAAGAGCGCCCTTCGATAAGCGCGTGCCACGACTTTCCGGCAATCTCGACACAACATGTGAAATGGATGGCAACAACAAATATCTGGGGCTACGGATACTATTTCCGCCAGGAGGATTTGAGGGACGAGCAGTGTGACCTTGGTTCGCCTTGGTTTGGTGAGACATAGCTCTTTCGCGTCCATATACAGTCCTTTGCTAACTAGATAGCGGCCACGGAAGCGCATGGAACGCAATCGTGGTACCGCTAGACCCCAACATCTTCTAAGCTCCATGCTTCTCCAGCCATATACTCCTTGACCACTGCGCCAGACACTCGAGCACGCGGTCCTTACATATACCAGATGCTGCCCGAGACAAGATGATCTACGGAGCCGGACTCATGGGACCCAGCTGAAGTTTACATCTGGATCTGGTAGGGCCCAACGCAATGGAACTGGAGGTACAGAAAGCATCCGGGACCGGACCGTCACTGGACCCAGATCCCATTACCCAATAGGGTAACAGTATTCGGCCAATCAGAGCCCCAGTGTATGGCTCTAGGACTAGTCCGAGTGGTGAGGGTTGACTGGTGCGAACTCTTGAAGCCCCTCTCTAAGGCTGCAAAGGGACCCCCTCCCCGTCAGCTTGATCGTGAGACCCCAACAGCTGCATGTAATATGATCTTTTTGACCTTTCATTTTCCCATTCTCAGACGATCTGCCGGCCAAGAAAGACTAGTAAGTGTCCATCCCGCACTAATTTTGGTCATTAAGCGCGTCCACATAACCGGGGGATGGTTGTCACCATATCTGAGCCCGGCCACCCAAGCCACGACAGTGTCCACTACGGGAAAAAAAGGGCAGGAGAGCATGCAGCAGTACCTTAGGGTACCCTAATAATGTTTACTTCCGTTTCAGCTGCACAGGGATTCGGGCAGCATCCGATCCCCGGTCCACGAGAGATGGGCACGTAGTGTCGTTCACTGCTGTTAAATCCAGATCAAACCACGTCACCCCGTGCATTCGTTAATCCCGCCTCTACCCCCTTGTCAAAGCCTCAAGCCAACTCCCAGTCACCTATCAACCTCGATTATGCCGGGAAAGCGACCTTCAGACACAGCCTCCTCCTAGATTTATCTGGTTCTTACAGCAACCCGTTATCAGCTCCACACGGCATGACCTAGATACCCATCGATAGCGCCACCATGAGCGAAGACCAAGACTCAGATTCAGCAACAACCGATTACCAGTTTGTATTCGGTACAGACCAGCCAGGCGCCCGCAGCCATGCGATGCGACAGTTCTGGAGGCGGAGGCACCAGGCCCTCCAAAGTTCCCCCCAGACAACTCGACCTCAGCTTAGGACACTACTTCCGAAGGACTATAGCTCAGAGAGCACAGGATATCAGCAGGATGCATCACAAGGTCAGACCCCCGATCCACCAGAGGGTGAAGGTCAACCAAGCTCCGCCAACGCGAGAATTCCAGCTCCAAACGAGCACCGGCAGGAGTCCTCGATCGTTCAAGGGCCGGGCCCCAGATTCCCGATAGATCTGTCCGCGAAAGACCAAGAAATCTTCTCTTCATGTGAGTACAATGCAGATAAAGACGATACTCACCAGGCAGCTGATGTTAAACTCTGTTTAGGGCTCGATCTACATGCTAGTTTTGGCCCCGGCTTGTCACAGAGTACCGGATTTGACCCCGTACGTGATGTCTGGTTGCCTTTGGATCTATCCAATAGTGCCTCGTTTTGCGCCCTGATGGCTCATGCGGCAGCTCATGTCGCCCACCGTCAAGGCCAGACAAAGTCGATAGAATCAGAAAAGTTCAGGACCCTGGCTGTGGGCATCATCGCGAAATGGCTGGCCGATGAAAGAAGATCGACACAGGATGATACGATTACGGCTATTGCACGCCTCCTAATGTTCGAGGTGAGTATTTTCAGATTAGAACCTTCATTGCAACATCCAAAATCCTCAGCTGAGTTCACCGTCTACGAACCAGAAATACTGGGCCATCGATGACCAATGGCGTGCCCATAAAAATGGCCTTGTCAGCGTTATCAATGCAAGGGGTGGGGTAGAGAGTTTTCGGTCAAGCTGGCGTCTTCATATGGTTCTCTTCCTGTGAGTATTCATGATGTTCATACTAATACCTACAGCCTTTGTTTGCTAATGTAAATTTGGAATACATAGGGCGTTCTCTCTGGCAGAGCCGTCAAGAAGTTCATCCCCAGCGCATGTCTGGGAAATCTCAGAGTACTTTGTCCCCGCTACCGTGCATCCAGCATTCGAACTTCGACTACACCAGGGTAACCCAAAGGCCTCCCAAGGGCTGATCGCCTACTCTGATATCCACGAAACGATAACATTTCTGGCGAGTTCCTCAAACTTATCGGCAGACGCATCGCCGAATGTCCAAGATCACACACTCCTCTGCTTGTTTATACTTGCCGTGATATTTCAAGAATCACTCTACTCATCATCGCCAGAATTTGGTCACTCCTTCACCGACAAGTTGCCAGTACTAAACGAAGCTCTGTCTAAGAGCAAGACTATTTTGAAACGCTCCTCGCAGGAGCTATATGAGTTTCTGATGGAGGATCATTTCAATCTCCTGCTCAGCCCCTCAGCTCGCAGCTTCATCACAAAGGTGGCCCAGAACCTGGTATATTTGAACGAGTCCGCACAGGCAGCTGTCGCAAAATGCCTTCTCAATAAACTTCTCTGGCAGAGCCAAGACGTGAAGGCTGATTCACATCTCCAAAGTGATGGAACGCGTTCAATATAAGTTGAGCGAATGGCACTCAATTTTACTGTCCAGGAGGCTATCTAGCAGCTCCACGCTAAATGTGATGTCTGTACTACATAGTATAGACAGCTGCTAGCAGATAACTTCTCGTTACATCTTTCTCGATCCGCACTCCACTCTCCATCAGGTAAGGCCGTCATAACCATGACATCAACGTACATATCACCCAGGGAATAACAGGCCCTCAATAGTGAATATTCCCTATATACTACCACACTGCGTGTCAAACGATGGCATCTTTGCTTGTAATAAGCAATATCGTAGCAAATCACTACCTCGCACACGTACTCTGTTAATTTGCTGAACTCACCCCTACATCGGCGAGATCTCCACATCCCCACACAACCTGCTCTATGCACAATGACATCAAACTCTCAAATACCACAGATATCTCATGCCTTGCATATATCGACCCTTATCCTCGGGTCCGGATGATTTCTGTAAAATGCTTGTGTACATGTATGTCTCCGCCGAACCGGTCTTTTCCAATCATGGGCGAATATCAATGCCAAGAAACCCTGTCTCGCATACCAATGCATGTAAGGAGAGGCAAGCACGCAGGAACGCAAGATTCCAGTATTGCATGGTTAGGCTTGTAATAAATTGAATTAGTACATAGTAACGGTGCAATAAAATATGTGATCTTCATGATTGATATGATTGATACCAACTTTCTGTAAACCTCTTAATCCAGAGCTACAAGCGCATAGCATAACAATATCCGTACCCAATCTTCACTTGGAACACACTTTTCAATACGCAATCTCCTGCTACAGCAGGTAAACAATCTTCCCTAATTAGAAGGGTTACTTCGGATCTGCCCACTGTAAGGATCGGAATATACTCCCGAGCTTACTCCGACAGCGTTCCGAAGTTTCCCGATTCCGGTTCCGTGTCCGTGTCCGTGTCCGACACTAAAATGCGCACTTTTTGTTATTGGTTAGGATTGATTTGGGGGCGGAAGAGGATTATATTTAGTGTAGTTTATTTATATTAAGCTACAGTATTGATCTATATAGAGTTAGATGAAGGCCAATTTTTGAGTGTGTTGGTGGGGAGGGAGGGGGTTCACCGTAGTAGTGGGGGAATAGGTGTTGTTTTTACGGCTTGCGCGTTTGGGTGTGATGTTGAGTTTGGCTTCGCTTGTGGTGGACATTGAAGAGGAGATATTTGGTAGCAAGAAGGATGTATTGTTTTGATTGGACGAGAATAGACTCAATTGAAATACATGCAGATGACCATCCGGGTCGTTTGGGGGTAATCACAATGTGATCAATCTGTGTAAAACTCAATCTCAACACATTTCTTTGTCCAACAACGACGCCCAGTCCTTATTACAAGTACAAAGATGCCAGGGGCCTTTAGATCAAAAGCCTACTCGGGCTTCTTCTTTGCGGGCCCTGCATAGTGAAGAATGCTGAATGCAAATTTAGGGTGGTCGCTTAATAGCGTGCAAAAGCTGCCACTGCATCTGAGGATCTCGATGTGGTAGGCTGCGAAATGTGCAAGATAGGCGAACAATGGGTCGTTCTCCTTGAGCTTGGAAAGAGCGAACCGTGCAGCTGATGTTAAAGCCACCGACACATGTATCCGGCTATCGCCCATCCCAGACATGATTTTCTTCATCTGTGTGATTGCAAGGCTTGCTAATTCCGGTATACCATGTCTGTCGCAAAACACGTAGAGCTGGATGTTGTCGGAAATCGAATCTGCTATCTTGCATTCGACGGATTCTTCATGGTTGCATGCGCATTTGATGTCGCTCTTCTCCAGATCCGCCTTTTCAGGGTATTCTCCTGTATATACCCACCCGACGAGAGCAGAGAGTGTGCTAGCCTCCGTATCCATGCAGACATAATCGTCTACTGCTTTTTCTATGTGAGATTTGTAGAGAGCAGAACACTTGGACTTCAGGAGCCCTGTGTGAATTCTGAATTCTGAGTCGGAGCCCTTTGTTCCAAGAACAATGACATCGGTTTGGAGGATGTTCGTAAAAGTGCCAGTGGTTATAGATTCTAGGAGGTCCATGTGTTAGCCATCTTGTAACAGAGCGTACCGACTTTCCTTTGGATCCAGGCCCGTCGAGAAGGTACACTGTCTGACCAAGCTTGATCTTTTTATCACCACCGTCTTCTGCGGATGTCCCTTTACGTTTTGTGGTGGTGGGCGGAGGCCTGCGCTTGCTCATGATGGAAGGTGGAGTTTGATGAACCTTGAAGAGTATTTCGAGAGATTTGATGCTAGATTAGAATGTGTAGAGAAAAGAGTAGGGAAGAGGAGAGTAGTGGCGAGCAGGATATGAACTAAAAGGTTGAGTCCTCGATTATGAGAATTATACACTCATTCACTGTCACCTGCTCATAGAGCATTTCCAAAACTTGCTAGTTCGTGGAGAATATGCTTGCCAATAACACTGCTGTCAAAATAATGCATCTTGACCTCTCATTCACTTTGGGCTTGTTGAGTCTGCTGGGCTGAGGCTGTGTTTACTCCAGCGATTACTCCCTGTGAAGAAAGTCTCTGGCTCGCCATTTCTGCAGTATCATGCTATTTGTCTTGCCTCTCTAATTCTGGACTTCGCTTGGGCTGGATGCAAGAACATGTTGTCTTGATATAACTGATGACAATATGTACAACTGACTCAGCAGTGAGACGAATGCATAAATTGTCTATCGCCTCAGGCAGAAATACATATGTGTCAACCTCAGGCCACACACACTAGCCGGGCAAGGGCGTTAACCTACTTTTTGCATTTGTTCGTATTTGTGGGATCGCCTTCCACATGGTGGGTGCCTGCCTTGGTCCCACAATGTGAACCGAGGTTCTTGGCGATTCCATTTGGGCGAGTCACAATCGCGTGCGAAGCCATTCTGGTAATACCAAGCATCATATCAAAGCTTGGCGTTGAGTAGGTTTAGACTTCCAGGTTGAGTCGTATAATCAGCATTCTGCGACCCTACCACAAACACCGAATTCTTTGACCATCCCTGTGTTGAACTGAATATAAGCTTAAATTCTGAACTGTACTCGGCCGAGTGATAGGCAGAAAGATAAGTGTCTCTGGTAGTTCTGCAGCCTGCTTGGATCGTCGAAATCGGCAGCCGGTGATGTCATGGCATTATTCAGCATGGTGGGGTTGCATCAATCCCCTTTAAAGCTCGTGTCGCAGCTTCACGCAGGCTGGTAATTGAGAGCATCCTGTGTTTGCTTGAACTGCTTAGAGTATTCAAAATGGCCAATAATAAGGTTGATGTCACCAGATCCTCGGAGTTGGATGAGGCAACGGGTATGTCCAACTTATCTCCAGGGAACAAAGGATGGGTTAATGACCAAAACACACGATAGGGGGCCGGACTGAAGGAATGGTTCGGAAGGGAGCTATTATCGACAAGTCGGATCAGTTGTGTGCATTAGGTTGGTCGAGCCCCTTTCAGGACTTGGACTGTTTCTAATACAATTCCTAACAGTCATGTGCGCCGAGCCACATTCCTGCTCGGCTGTTCACCATCACGGTGAGCAGGATACTATCGTCTATGCCGCAAAGGGCCATGGTTCCATTGTATTCGATGGGGGAAAGCAGCGCAAAGACCTCTCCCCAGGTGACTTTGCTATCATTCCTGCGTAAGTAGTGCGGCCTCTACTTGATCGAGGACATGAACTGACTCGGGATCTACCTGTGTGCAGTTACACTGAGCACCAGGAGATGAACCAATCAGACCAGGATGTCGAATGGGTTATCACTAGAGCAGGAAGAAAGCCGATCACGGTGAACCTGGAAGGTTGGTCTGATGCTTCTAGCTGAGGGCTGGTCTTTGCCGTGAATGCAACAAAGGTGCATTGTATTAGTTGCAAATATTAGCGAATGGTGTCATCTTTGCGTCTTCGATACTCTGTCGCAATCCGGACATCTCTATGTAACCTCGTGGATGGAGCCACGTCAGCCCTGGGTTTGTAAAAAGCTTCTAACGTCGCTTCACACCCTGTTTACACGTAGATATCGATGAAAAAGACGGAATCCGCATATAGATTTCAGTCTACTACGTACTTGAATCCCATGGCATTGGCCAAAATCCGCCCTTCCTGTCGAATGATTGGAATGTCCCCACTTCACCAGGGTCGTGCAAAAAATAGACATCGTTATCGTTTGCCTTCGAGGAAAGCTCCGGTGAGTCGGTGCAGGAAATTGAATAGCAAGGTCGAGGGTGTCCCAGTAATCAGGTGACAACACATATCTTCGGGAGTCCATCAATGTGGGATTCATTTCAGAACTTCCTCTCCTGCTAATACTCTCAGGATGCTACTGTTGTACCCCAGATACTACATTTCTTTCTCTTTCATCGATCTAACTACCTGTTGATCCAATCTCATCATGATATGAGTACAAGTCGATTATCTACACAAAACAACAATGTCTCCGACTAAGCAGCATGACTACGCCATGCTCGATGACAGTGACAAGCCCAGAGAAGTCGAGATCTCCCACGGCTTCTTCAAGCCAGCTGGAGAAAGTGGTGTATGAATGCAACCTTATTATACCACATGCACAGCCGCGATAATTTGACTAATATTCAGAGGAAGACCCAATAGTTAGGACAACGAGGCCAGTCAAATATTGCCGAAGAAGGTCACTATTCAACCTGCATCAGCTTTTTTCTAGGCATATACATCATGTACCATATTGCTATCTGCTCCACCTTATGAGAAGGAGCTTTTACTGGGCCATTCACTTATAGTTCCAAGAAGCACACTAACACAACCTTCGCCAAACAACCATATTGACGTTTAGATGAATGGCCATTGGCTGTTGACAACATAGCTATCCTGAGTTGCACTATGGTCACATTTTGAATATCCTACATTCTAGAGTGGCTACGCCTGGTCTTCAATCATAACCTTCACCCCCCTTTGTTCCCATCACCACACCAAGTCGACTAACATTGTTTCTGTCAGATTTACTGGGTAGCTGCAACTAATGACTAGAGAGCAGCAGTGATCAAATTATCAACAAAGTGATACACAGCCTGCCAGATGCTGTGAAGCATCGTCTAAGGGCCTGGCCTATCAGACGAACAACTTACAATACACCATATCTGCATAACCGCTCAGCACATCCATTCATAGACGGCAGTCAACATCTTGGCACGGTCTTTCCGGGAAGTCAAATGACCATGCCCTAGGAGACGAGTGTAAGCTTGACAACATCCAAGGCACAATGCACTCTTTTACCCCTCTATTGGCAAGAGGGAGCAGCAAAGTCAATTTCGCCAAGACCATAGGCGCAACCGTCCTCGCTTACTGCTCAATTTGTGTGTTATTTTTACAACCCCTCAACTCCTATCATACGCCTGGGGCCATGCAGGCCACAGTATGGAGTTAAATGTCCTGTCCGGCATACCCGACTTTACCTATATGTCTAATTTACACGACCCTTCTGCTCGAGGGGTCGAAGAACGATAACCCTCTCTCGGCCGGCGGAATTTCCGAGTGGTTGGATCCACTTCGTTAACAAAACGGTTTGCGGATACTGGTGGTATAGCGCACCCGTGCACGCAACGGCATTGGACCGTTCGGTTTGCCAATGTCCAAGCGAGTGGGCTAAGACGGCTGACAGGTGGGCTAAGACGGCTGACAGGTGGGCTAAGGACAGACCGGCCCAATTATGGGCTACCTCAATAATGGCATAGAACGCCGTTGCAACAGAGTGATTCGCGTTGAAGATCGCACCCCTTTATGGGGAATCTAGACTGAGGCGCGGAACACCTCGGTAAGTGGGAATATTGCCCTCTTCTTGAGACTTCCCCCGCGGCTTGAAACTGCAAACTAGTTGATCTTCTGGCACATCGCAGTTATCTACATTCGCAAAATGGTTTCTGTTCCAACCATTGTCCTGGTTCCTGGGGCGTGGTGCACCCCGATTGTCCATGATGCTCTGCGTGCTACTCTAGCCTCCCGTGATTTACCTTCGACGGCCATTGCCCACCCCTCCATTGGTGCGGAGCCACCCTCGAAGACTCTGGCCGACGATGTTGCCCACTTGCGGTCTGAGCTAGTCTCGATGATCGACGAGGGGAAAGACATCATCTTAGTGCTACATTCATACGGTGGAGTTGTCGGGTCCGGGGCGGTCGAAGGGTTGGGCAAGGCAGAACGCGCGCAACAGGGAAAACAGGGTGGGGTTGTCATGGTCGTGTACATGAGTGCGTTTGCCATACCAAAGGGGAAGAGTCTCCTGGATATGCTGGGAGGCCGGTTCTTGCCGTTCATGAAGGCAGAGGTGAGTTCAATGACTTCGTGAATTTGCGACTTTCACCTTACATGAGTCAGGGTGATTACGTGCATTGCCTTGAAGGACCTGAATACGGTTTCCACGACATCCCACCTGTCGACCAGAAACTGTGGACATCCCGGTTGACACATACTTCTATTGCTGTATTCTCCGGTGCCTCGACCTTCGAGCCTTGGCATGTCATGCCGACCGCCTATATCATCTGCGAGGAAGATCGGGCACTTCCGCCACATGTGCAGAAGCAGATGGCAGAAATGCTGAACACGAGGTGGATCTATAGATTGAAAAGCTCCCATTCGCCGTACCTGAGCATGCCGGACAAGGTGGCGGATATTCTGGAGGAACTCGCGGGCAAGACTTTGACTAGTGGTGCGGGACTCTCCGCCAATTTGTGAACTGCATAATTCTATAATACCTCTTTCCCAACATTATAAATAGGACGTAAGATCTGCCTGTCTCAGATTTCAATCACAGAGCCACCATCCTAGACATATAGAGGACACAAGTCACATGAGTCATTTGCCTGCACAATGCCTCATCAGCCTCATCAGCACTACCCATGAACAACTCAGCCTCCGTGGGGCGCCAAGGCAAGGCTGCAGCAATACCCGAAAGAATATAAATATAGAAAGATCCTCCAAAGTAATATCCAAGACTGTTATCTGCCTGGAACCACATCATCTACAATCATGATGCCACCTACAGCATTCCCTCTTCCCCATATTCACCTCCTCTGCATGGACGAGAAATATATCCGTGCCTTCGAATCTGCCTTATCGACAACCACCACATCTTCCCAATTTCCTAAGATAACCTTCCACAACTGTTCTCTCTCTTATATTTCCCCGGACATTCAATTCGATGTGATCGTCTCCCCAGCCAACTCCTACGGCCGGCTGGACGGTGGCTTCGACGACGCCATCTCACGTGCCTTCTCCCCAACGACAGACTACCTCGCCTTGACCCGCCACACGCAAGGGATCCTCTATCGCGATTATCGGGGCTACCTGCCTCCGGGATCATGTACGCTCATCTCTATTCCGGAGGAGTTTGACCCTCTATCAAAGAACGTTTGGGGAACAAGGTACTTGGCGCTCTGTCCGACCATGAGAGTGCCGCAGAATGTGCGCTGGGATCGGGAGATCGTGTACGAGTGTGTCTGGAGCTTGTTGTGCGCTGTCGACAGACATAACGGTGATGTTGAGAGGACAGCAGGCGGGGTAACGAGGATTGATAGTCTCTTGATGACCCCGTTTGCAACGGGGTGTGGGCTTGTCTCGCCTGAAAAGTGGGCCAGACAGATGATCCTCGCGCTGAATCATTACGTCGATGCGGTGCAGAATCCGGAGAAGTGGTCCAGTCTGGATCTGGGTCAGGCTATGGTGTATTCGAGTGAGGTGGCGAGGACTTGGGAGTTATAAAGGGGTGTTGGGAGGTGTATATCTGACACCTGAGAAGGCGATGGGTGATGAAGATGAGGAAGATACATTATGTTTGAAAAGAAATATATTCGCACTCAGTTTGGGGCGTGTAACTGGAGACAAGATTTGACGAGAGGAAACTAAATAAGAACATGATGAGACAGACTAATTGTGTGTGTGAAGATGGGGTGTTCACACTTCGTTGATGCTGTATAGCTCGAGACAAGAATTGGAAAGAGGAATCCGAATAGAGAACTACTTTGAAACGGACGATGACTTGTGTGTGGAGAGGAGGTGTTCCAACCTTTGTCATTCGTTGGAGATGTATACTCGAAGGTTCTCATCGACAAGATAAACAGGACAATAAGATTGGGAATATATGGAGAGCAGCTCATTAGTTCGTGTGGACAATGCATCCGCTCTATAAGTGGAGTCTATCAAAAAGTATAAACACAAGAGATATTACTAGGAGAATGAGGAAGATGCACTGGGCCTGTGGGAATCGAATGTTCAGCCTTCGTCAGAGGTGTATAAAGACATATCTGCTCAAATCAGCGGTCGATACCCTCTATCAGCGCGCCTATTATGGTGGTCCTGCTCTATGGGAGTTGCCTTTAACACTATAAACGAGGTAACTTGGCATACCCTGAATACGAGAATGTCTGGCGATGTCTTGGAAGCAACACATCATTTACAATTAGCTGGAGTCAACTCACTCAAATCATGAATACTGACCTACTCTGAGGTCCAAATTGGGCCTTGTTGCCGGCAGGTTCCTTTATTGATGCACGATCGACATGACCACCCTGATACAGATTTTGCAGACTCAAAGTTCAATAACACGAGGAGAATTCGACCTATAGAATCTCTGAGAGCGAGCATGTGCTTCTACACGGAAGCCAACCATAAATGGCCGGTGTCTCTTGGATACTGCCGATTGTATCTGTCTCAGAATCCCAGCTACCATTGCCCTGGGTCCTTCAGAACTCAGTCAGGCTTAAGCCACGGATACTTCCATTGACCACACCACAAATAATAATAAACCCCAGTCTACTTACTTCATGCAACGATGAAGCCATCCCACCCCCTGTGCCATCAGCACTCTTGGCAGCTCTCAAATTCCAACCCCAGGCGCAACACCGCAATTGCCCTTTCACATCTATACCTCCATCACGGCCACACCCAGAACAATGTCCTCATACCCAAGCAATCCCAGTCGTCATTCAGTACCTTGTATACCCCCCTTCACAGCAACGATAATCTTACTCAAAGTACCCCTGTCCATATATATACCACTATGAATTTAATCCTCCCGGTAACACAAGCATCGAACGTTGCCATCACCAGTCTAGGAGCTAGCACCACCACCACCGTCGCCAACTATGCCTTGCACGCCTCGCCCCTTCAAGGCCCCCGTGCCCAACGCCAGCCCGGCTCTGGAAGCTGTGGCCGAGAAGCTTCGTGCCAGCGGCAGCAGAAGACTCCTCACGGCAGAAGGCATCAGATCACTCTCCACCTCGACGAAGAACCTCATCGACAATCTATATACCAACGTCCGCAAGAACTGCTGGGCAGACGCCATCTGCGAAACCCCAGCAAGCCTCCGCTCCGGTCGAATGGACCCCACTGGTAGATGGCACCTTCGTAACCCTCACGTTTCCGCCTACACCGACGACCTCTCCCACGCCATCCAACTCGGCGACATCGACGAAGTCGACTACTACCTGTCGTCCCGCAGGATGCCCCTCAACACCTGCGACCGCGAGGGCAACTCCCTCCTCCACCTAGCCCTAACCACCGGCCACTTGGGCATCGCCGATCTCCTCCTCGAGAGTGGCGCCAGCCCCCAGTACAGCTTCGACCCGGAAGTCCCTGAGCTCGACCAACTCTTCCAATGTCCCGACCGCGTTGCACCCCAGCTCAGCTCCATCCGCGTCGATATCCTCCGTCTGCTGCTCAGATACGGCGCCCAAATCTGCCGATTCCCCACCCTCAACGTCCTCTTCGACTCCCCCGGGAACGCCCCAGAGCTCCTTCAGCTCCTCATCAAGAACCATCCGGATGTGCTCCACGAACGCTCCAAATCAGGCCACACCATCCTCCACTCGGCCGCCGCGTTCGGCACTCCCGAGGTATGCGACTTGCTGCTCGCTCGTGCTCCACACCTCCGCACCACATACACGGACTGGGACGTGACGCCCCTGCACATGGCAATCCTGGAGAGAAATGAGCCGACAGCCTGCTTCCTCATCTCCGCCGATATGAGCCTGCAGACGCGCCACGGATACGACCGCACTGAGCTGTTCCTAGCGGCATGTATGGGCCTGCGTCGCGTCGTCAAATTACTACTAACTACTACGGCGTTCTTCGCGTATCCGCCACAGAAGTGGGTTTCGGATGCGAAGGCCGCTGTTCGCGTCGCGCTGTACATGGGTAATACCGAGATTGTGGATATGATTAGACGGAATTTAGGATTGTATGTTGTTACCCTTCACCTAACCCCCCTTCATGGAAAGTATAAGTAATATTGACTAATATATTGTTTGTGTGTGTAGATCATGGCGCTCATGTTTGTCCCCGTTTCTTACATGTCCCCGGCCTACTCTGACCCCGAGTATTATTAACATTCGGGGGATTGAGACTAGGAGGTCGAGGAGTAGACGCGCTAGGAGTGTCAGGGATCATGATCATACTCATCATCCACAGCGGTCTGGTGAGGTTGGGTGGCAGAATGTGAATGGGAGTGGGAATGTCTCTGCTCCTGCTCATTCCCTCGCTACTGTAGCCAATTCGGGGACTGGTAATCCTCTGGACGGTCGCGAGAGCGTGAGCGATACTATGAGTTTGGATGCCCAGGTTGATCGGTTTTTGAACAGTGTAGGTGGGAGTGGACAGGGTATGCTTGGGGTTATGGATACGGTGGTGGAGAGTATTGAGTTGTGAGTATGGCGGTGGGTGGTGGTGGTGGATGCATTGTTCGTCCGGGTCTGGTATGTGAAGAGGGTGGTTTTGAGTCATTCGTTTGAGATTTCTAAAAGTATTGTTTCGTTTGTGTCAATCTCTGGGATATTGCATGGTATTATTAGCTGTATGAGTGGGCGTTGCCCTACTACAGACAGCATGGTTCAATGTTACATTTCGGTAGATACTATCCAGAACAGGCTCAATCATGACAAAAAGGTTCTATATTCATATCCAATTCAGAGCAGAGTAATACCTCCTATGTAATTACCTCCCAAAACATATCATGTCATATCCATCAACCCTCACACATTTGTACAGATTATACATCCTTCTCCACGACCCCCTTCTCAACAACCACCTGCTGATGAGCCGCCACCGGCTCATCCGCACCCCCAAGTCCCGCCCCGGTCAAATAAAAGTCCTGCGGGTCCGTATCCTGGGCCGTCTGCTCCCACGTCAACCCCTGCTTCTTGATCAATTTCTGGTTCTCCGTGGGCCAGAACGTGCAGATGATGTAGTACATCACGAAGGCGGTCGTGAAGGATAAGATCCACCCGAGGTCGCCCATGCGGGTTGCGGTGGTGGAGACGCTGGCACCGAGGGAGCCGACGAAGCCTATACAAATTTGAATTAATATCTGGGGTGTTATGGGAGATGAAAGGACAGACGTACCAGGGAATGGGAGCGCAATTGCGATAATGTACGCGATAACGGCTTGGATGTTCCACCCGCCGTAGTATCGGTAGTTTTTGTTGAGTTTCGTGCCGTCATACAGGGAAGAGAGGAAAATGTTGCCTTTGGCGAAGCAGAAGTCTGTAATTCATTAGTATGTTTTAGTCATTTGGAGGTGTAGAGGGAGGGAAGAGGGACGTACACTCGCACACCATGATGGCCACGACGGCACCCATGAACAACGCATATCCGGACAAAAAGTCCTCGAACTTCGTCGCCGACGTAAGAATCTCCCATGGTACGACGGCCCATGCGAGCGTCTGCACGATGTACTGTCCGCGACGCATGTTGATGAATCGCGGGAACAGCATGGAGGAATCCGCACCGAAGGAGATCATGTTGGCTGCGATGTTGGTTCCGAGGATCTGTACCAGCCAGGCAAAGGCCACGAGGAACACGGCGAATCGGGTCGTGCCGGACCAGTAATGGTCCAGGATGAATTCCATCATGTCCCATTGGTTCCTACTTAATTAGCAAGGATCGAGAATATTGGGTGTTTGGCAGAATGGCGTACCAGATATCGGTGCCGTATTTGTTGTTGATGGCGGCTGTCGCCAGAATACCCAGACTCGCCGAGAGCGTCACCGCGATCGGGTTCGAGAGCAACTGGGTCCAGAGCGGGGCATTGCGAGTTTTAGTCCAGCGGCAGTAGTCGGGTTGGTTGGTGATCAACGTGGCCGTGTTACTGGTCTTGTTAGTCTTCTGTCGGTGTGCCAAGGATTCCGAGAGGAATGGCTTACCCCAAGCCACTGTTGATTCCCGCAATAATCATCCAGGCGGTTGCTGTCGTGGATCGTGCCTCGGCCGTGTACATCGTCCCCAGCTGACCCTTAGTGTTGGCCATGGCGAAAATGAACAATCCGAACATGGCGGGCAGGGAAATGAAGGTCTTGAAGATGAAGAACTTGCGCAGCTGGTAGGGACGGAAATGGCAGAAAGGCAGATGCACCAGCCAGCAGAGGAAGAAGGCCAGCATCTTCTGCGTGGTGATACCTGCGCTGGATGGGATGTGGTTGGGGATGTCGGTGTAGTGGTGACCGAAAATCGCCCGCAGGATGTTGTACATGTATTCGGCGCCAAAGTCCACTGCAAGGGTCAGAATGAGGCGTTCATCATTTGAAGCGATCCGTGACAAGCGACTGTCACATACTCTGAATGGCAAACCACACGATGGCCAGCACCGCTCGTGCACCGACAAAGTAGTAGCTCCCCCACATGCCAAACACACTGCGCCCGACGCAGGGAAACCCAAGATGATATACACTGGCGGCGCGCGAGTTGAATGCCATGGCGACGGACGAGATGAGCTGGGAGACGAAGATGACGACAATCGACTGCCACCAGTTAAGACCGATGCCGATCATGGTCTACAGAATCAGTATACCATCGAAATAAAAACCTTGCAGAAAGGGCCAAAAGCATACCGATCCCAGGGTCCAGTTGGTAAAGGAAATGGACCAGTAGAACGAGACATAGTTCCACCAGCGCCAGGCTGCATCATTAGCACTG